AGAGCCCAGAAATGGACCCTCAACATTATGGTCAACTAATCTTCAACAAAGCAGGAAAGAATGTCCAATGGAAACAAATACATTGTATGTTAATAAAAAAATTAAAAAATAATAAAAACTGTAATAAAATTTTTAAAAAAGATAACAAATAAGCCCATTAAAAAATGTTCAACATCATTATTTATTAGAAAAATGAAAATTAAGGGCTCCACACTGGTCATGGAGCCTACTTAAACAGTAAGTAAATAAAAGAAAAGAAAGAAACATGCAAATTAAAACCACAATAAGCTATTACCACACAACTATCAGAATGGTGAAAATAAAAATAGTGACATTAAATGCTGGTGAGGATGCAGAGAAAATGAATGACTTCTATATTTCTGGTGGGAATATAAATGGTGTCTAGCCATTCTGGCAGTTCGGTAATTTCTCTTAAAAATATGCAATCAGTGATTACACTTCTGGGCATTTACCACAGAGAAATGAAAACTTATGTTTACATACATTCACAGCAGCCTTTTTTGTAATAGTCATAAAACTGGAAACCCAGATGTCCCTTCAACTGATAGATGGTTAAACAAACTGTGGAACATATAGTGGAATACTACTCAACAATAAAAAGGGATAAACTATTGATACATTCAGCAACCTGCATGAATATCCAGGGAATTATTTTGAGTGAAAAAGGCCAATTCCAAAAAACTACATACTGCATGATTCCATTTGATTCTTGAACTGGCAGTTAAAGAAATGGTGAATTGATTACTGATTGCCAGAAATTAAGGAGGGAAGTGTGTGGGAAGGAAGTAGATGTGGTCATAAAAGGGCAACATGAGGGACTTTGGTGGTGATGGGAATGTACTCTATCTTGACTGCATCAATATCAAAATCCTGGCTGTGATATTATACTGGTTTTGCAAGATGTTATCACTGGGGGGAAAGTGGGGAAGGGCAAACAAGAAGGATGTTATTTCTCACAACAGCATGTGAATCTACAGTTATCTCAAAAAGTTTAATTTTAAAAAAGTAATTGTGTTTTTTAGTAAATTGTAAAGATGAATACAGGAAAATGAGAATGAGATTCATGCAGATGTTCATTTTCTCTTATTCTCTCTCGGTTTTTCCTGTAAGGTTTACGAGGAGCAATAGCATTTGCCCTGGCTATTCGGGACACAGAATCTCAGCCCAAACAAATGATGTTTACCACCACATTGCTCCTTGTGTTCTTCACAGTCTGGGTGTTTGGAGGAGGAACAACCCCCATGCTGACTTGGCTTCAGATCAGGTGGGTGGCATGTTTAACAAAGGATATCATTACAAGGCATGGCTGCACTATTTCATTTCTGGTGTTGCTGATTTGGTCCAGAGTACAATGGCAGGTCTATAACATTAACTTTCCCTGGGATGAAGTTGACCTTCATTCACAAGATAAAACATTCTGTCCTCTTCTAGACCTATCACCAACTGAACTGACTTTTCCAAGAATCCTAGAAATCTCGGGGTGATGTCTGTTTATAGTCTGTCTCTAGACATGAATTTATTTATCTATGAATTCTTCCATTCAACAGTATTTATTGAATACAATGTAATATGTTCTGGAGTATACAAAAATGAGAAACACATAGGTCCTGTCCTAAAGATATTCACAGTTCAACAGGATTTATACAAAAAAACTGTAATACCAAAGAGAAAGTAAATTTGTTTTGTTTTTAATTCCTTATAGCACTTAGGATAGAATTAGGGACACAGAAAGTACTTAAATATATTTGATTAGTGAACCATGTTTAGCCAGAGGGCTCCTATAGACACAGTTTAGACAATTTCTCAAAGGAAAAGGCAATGAAGTTTCAGTCAGGGGAAACTCCAAGAAGTACCTGGAAGAGGATCACTATAAACCTAAAGTATATAGATTGTGGCTAGCAGCATCCATTGATTTTAAATAGATGTCATAGCTTATGCAGTCTCTTGATATCCAGAATAGCAAGGAGAGTGGAGTATAATAATGGGGCTTTAGGCAGGTTAGAATGGTTATCTAGGTTATACAACAGGGCCCAAGAAGGAAGGATAGTGATGTCAACCATAGCATCCACAGGTGAAGGGTCTGGAGGTCCAACATTATTATGGCCTTGTCAGGTCATGGAGATGCCCTGGCGGGAATTAGCTCCAAATGGCCCAGTTGATTCAAAGCCAGACTTGGCGACCAGCCAGGAGGGGAGAGCATTAAAGGCAAATCTATTTTAAAATGTTGTTGTCTTTATTTAAGTATATCTTTGACCTGGGTTCTCATTTTCATATCCCCGAATGTAACAGTACTTTAGGTAAATCACATTTTATTTCTCAATGCCATACATCTTAATGATCTTGCAATCCTTCCCTGGTCTCCACCCAATCTCTGTAAGGCAATTCCATACCCATCACATCTAACAAGAAAAGATCCATCTGACTGGAAAATGATTTCCAAGAAGATTAAGACAAGGATTCTTATTCCAGTACCAACACAGTGCCTAGGACACAGTAGGATTAAATAAATAATTGCTACATGAAACATTAAATGAATATAACCACAATGTAAATTGCTTTTTGTTAAGCACTTCCTGATAATTTTCTATCTATTTGACAAAGAGGAAACAGAAACAGGACTCAAAGCTTTAATAAAAGAGAGTTTATGCTTAAACTGGGCCAAGTAACCATGCATTAAACCAAATTCGAGGAAATAAAGAACTTCTTGAAGTACTGTGACTATTGATAAACACATTAAAGGGCTTTGACCAAAGGTGAATGGAGAGTGTTTTGAAATGCTTGTTGAATTATTTTCTAGGCATATAAATGTGACCTGCAATTTCCTTCACAGTAGTAGCTACCTGTAGGTTCCTGTGGATGAGCATGCATATTGCATTAAACTCTACGGCACTGGGTCCCCTGTGAACTGTTAGCAAGATAGTGGTGTGTTCAGGTTTCTGGAAAATAAATTTCAGTAGGTGGATCCATGCATGGAAATATTAGGGCGTAGAAAACAAAAGTTAGAGGATACTAATCCCTACAAGATAAAAGTATTAACTACCCCATCAGGTAAATTAGAATATTCAGAACATGAAGTACTGATATCAGCATTTTCCTAGAGTGATTCAAATGTAACTTATTTTCTACTGTTGTCTTTCTTTACCCTGAAGAGGTCGCCCCCCAAATCAATAACAAGTTTTACCCTAAAGTATTTACCTAATTCTCCTATAGTGTTTTCCAAAGGTATCCATTGATTTCAAATAGATGTCATAGCTTATGCAGTCTCTTGATATCCAGAATAGCAAGGAGAGCGGAGTATAATGATGGGACTTTAGGCAGGTTAGAATGATTATCTAGGTTATACAACAGGGCCCAATAAGGAAGGATAATGATGTCAACTATAGCATCCACAGGTAAAGGGTCTGGAGGTCAGCTTAGGCCAGCATTATTATGGCCTGCTGGGGATTGTCAGGTCATGGAGATGCCCCAGTGAAAATTAGCTCCAAATGGCCCAAATGATTCAAGGCCAGACTTTGTGGCCAGCCAGGAGGGGAAAGCATTAAAAGCAGGGCTGTGATATATTTAGGGAAAGGGGCTCAAGGGGCTCCAGTATAATAGGCAAGGTGGAAATCTCAGCTGGGAACTAGAGTGTGAAATCTGGAATTGGTAGGAATCCAGTCAGAGAGATCAGAGACCCAGTCATGAGAAAATCAGAGAAGGAAAACTGAAATTCATAGATATGTAAGTACCCAGGAAGTCAACTCAGGCAGACAGGAAAGACCAAGGTGAGACCAGTGGTTCTCAAACTTGAGTGAGCATCAGAATCACCTGGAGGGCTCATTAACCCCCAGAGTGCTGGGCCCCTGCCCCAGTGTTTCTGATCTAATAGATCTGGGTCAGGGCCTAAGAATTTGCATTTCTACCACATTCCAGGCAATACTAATCCTTCTCGTTCCAAGGCCACATCTTGATAACCACTGGGTGAGACTTCCTAACCCCAGGTGAAGATGGGGCTAATAATAAATACTGCCAGATTTGATGGGAGTTGCCCAGGTCCAGGCACATCTAAGCCCTCAATTTAAACTCTTTACATCTATACTGGAAGGAGGCAGGGGCTAACTTGAGAAGGAAGAGTCACAATGCATTGATTAATGGGAGGGAAATAGAACATAATAGAATAAACATAAAAGAATAGGAACAGGGGCTCCTGGGTGGCTCAGTTGGTTAGGTGTCCAGCTCTTGATTTCAGCTCAGGTCATGATCTCAGGGTTGTGAGATCGGGCCCCTCATTAGTCTCCACTTTGGGTGTGTAGCCTGCTTGGGATTGTCTCTCTCCGTCTCCCTATGCCCCTCCCCCACAAAAAAAAAAAAAAAAAAAAATTTTTTTTTTTTTAAGATTTTATTTATTTATTTGATAGAGAGGGAGAGACAACAAGAGAGGGAACACAAGCAGGGGGAGTGGGAGAGGGAGAAGCAGGCTTCCTGTGGAGCAGGGAGCCCTATGTGGGGCTCGATCCCAGGACCCTGGGATCATCACCTACGCTGAAGGCAGATTCTTAACAACTGAGCCACCCAGGAGCCCCAAGAAAAAGAAATTTTAAAAAAAGAATAGGAACATAAGTTAATGTGTGTACAAATGCACACACAAACATGACATAAATTTGGTTCAACCATGTATTAGTGATACCATCATCATATGCTCTACTTCCCTATCATGGTTTATAGTGTTGTCAAAGAAATCTTCAGTTCCATCATAGCTTTTAAATGATAGTTGTCCTTTATTTAGACTGTATTTATCAAGGCTTTGCTTGTTTACAGAGCAACGCCTCATTAACCAACTTTCATGTCAGACTCTTTCTATAAAATACCAGAATATAAGTTAATTGGAGCTTTAATAAAATGACATGAATAGAGGAGCCCAAGAAGCAGGAATGAAAATGTGATAATGAATAAACACAAACATCCTCACTTGGTATATAATTTATTTATACACTTTACATTGCCTTCCTTTCTTGAATTCTTTTAATTTTACATCTTTTGTTTTAAATTATTAGTATTACTTGAGTTAGTTTTTACCCCAATAAAATTTTCCATTTAGCCTCAAACTACCATAGTAGGATGCAGATAAAATGTTTTAGATAAGGTAACAATTGATAGTATTAATATGAATTGCACTCTGATGGAAATGACTTTAAAACAGCAATGATCCTGTGCTTAGGGAAATTCAGAATGATCTTTACATAATCCAAAGCAATCTATACATTTAATGCAATCCCTATCAAAATACCACCAGCATTTTTCACAGAACTAAAACAAACAATTCTAAAATTTGTATGGAACCAGAAAAGACCCCAAATAGCCAAATTAATCATGAAAAAGAAAAGCAAAGCTGGAGCCATCACAGTTCTGCACTGCAAGCTATATTATAAAGCTGTAGTCATTAAGACAGCATGGTACTGGCACAAAAACAGACACATAGATCAATGGAACAGAATAAAAACCCCAGAAATGGATGCACAACTATATGGTCAACTAATCTTTGACAAAGCAGGAAAGACTATCTAACGGAAAAAAGTCTGTTCAATAAATGGTTTTGGGAAAACTGGACAGCAATATGCAAAGGAATGAAACTGGACCACTTTCTGACAACATACCCCAAAATAAACTCAAAATTGATGAAAGACCTAAATGTAAGAGAGGACACCATCAAAATCCTAGAGGAGAACACAGGCAGCAACCTCTTTGACATCAGCCGTAGCAACTTCTTACTAGACATGTGTCCAGAGGCAAGGGAAACAAAAGCAAAAATGAACTATTGGGACTTTATCAAGATAAAAAGCTTCTGCACAGCAAAAGAAACAGTCAACAAAACTAAAAGGCAACCTAAGGAATGGGAGAAGATATTCACAAATGACATATCAGATAAAGAGCCAGTATCCAAAATCTATAAAGAACTTATCAAAGTCCACACCCAAAAAACAAATAATCCAGTTAAGAAATGGGCAGAAGACAATAAACAGACATTTCTCCAAAGAAGACATGCAAATGGCTAACAGACACGTGAAAAAATGCTCAACATCACTCATCATCAGGGAAATGTAAATCAAAACTATGCTGAGATATCACCTCACACCAGTCAGAATAGCTAAAATTAAGAATATAGGAAACAACAGATGTTGGCAAGGATGCAGAGAAAGGGGAACCCTCTTAACACTGTTGGTGGGAATGCAAACTGGTGAAGCCACTCTAGAAAACAGTATGGAGGTTCCTCAAAAAGTTAAAAAT